TCTCTTTCAATGGGAATCTGCTTCTTTTTTTTTCAAAAGGAAGCATCCCAGTGAAGATTGACATTTTTGATCTACCATATTATATTATTCAAACAATATTTTCAAGATTCTTCTGTGGTTGTAATATCTTTACATTTTCTTTTATGTTACCTGGATTGCGTTGTTGGTTCAAGAAAATCTCTCTCTATATCTCTCTCTCTCTCTCCCTCTCTCTCTCTCTCTTGCTCTCTCTCTCCCTCTCTCTCTCCCTCTCTCTCTCTATCTCTCCCTCTTGTTGTTGGTAGACAGGGGTTAAGCAAGTTCTGATGTATGATTGCCATTTTCATCTAATTTATTCGATAAAGACAATATCCCCGCACATCTTCATGACTTTTAACTTTAGCACCCATTTGACAAGTATATGGCCACGTTACTTAAAAAAATTTGCTAGAACCTTTTTCATCCTTAATTCGGTGCAGTTTGTGTATTTCTTAAGGTTCCAAGTAATGTGTAGTTAGTCTCTCTGTAAATCTTATCTCGGGTTTTGAAGCATGTCTGGACTTGGATTTGATGAGTTATTGACTTGTAGATTCCTGTGAATACTACTACCTGTAGATATTCCTCCGAGACAAGCATTGTCCGATATGCAAAAATTGCCGTGCTGCTAAAAAATAAGACCGTACGTGATGTGGCACTGCGCTGTAGATGGATGACCGTAAGTTTATGTTTTACATATTCTGCTAACTCTCAGAATTTTATTCATTTCTTTTTATTTTATTCATTAATACTCTCACTATTCAGATTAGTCAATGATGAATTTGGTTGGCTTATCGATTATTTTAGTGTCATTATCTTGAGTGATTCATTCAACTTTGCAGAAGAAAGATATTTGCAAGAGAAGGAAAGAGGACTTCAACGCTCGGAAAATCAAAGACAGAAAAGTAAGTACTTCACTCGCATATGTTCCAATTCAAAATATTATTTACGTGTATACTGTGGAGCCAAGGGTGTTTCTTCTTTATTTATATCTAAACGCCATTACACTAAGGTTGCAAAAGACTTGTTTACCAAAATAGGTAATGAGTCCACATTAATAATCTGCTTGTACTTAAATCTTACAAAGTAATGTAGACCTTATGAGATTGTAATGCTAGGGAGCCAACTGTTGGCTCCCTAACGGAGCCGACAGCCAATGGGACAGCTCCATGTGGAGCTGTCCCACATTAAAGTCATGTGGGACAGCCCCACATGGAGCTGTATAATTGGTTGTTGGCTCCGTAACAGTTGGCTCCGTAACGGAGCCAACAGTTGGCTTCTTAGCATTACTGCCTTATGAGAACCTTTATTTTTTCTTATTCATAAATGTCACAATTGGTGCTTAACTTATAATTTATTCTAAGACGATTGGGTGATCAAAACTACTACTCTTGAGACTAAAGTACAAATTTTCTCTTTTCCAGTATTCTGCTACTTTTGACATCCTTTTTTTTTTTTTTTTC